ATTAAAGTTGTTCAGAATTATTTTTTGCATATATGTATATATTTTTAGAGTAGATTTATAAGTCTGATAAAAAGTCAGACAGTCCGCCAAACACTCCAAAAGGCTCGGACATCAAAAATATACAACACTGCAGTAGGGTACTATATTATTATGAACACTTTTTGGATAGCTATTGCTCAAAATCAGGTAAGTAAATATATCATGAAATTCGAGTCACATGACTAGCTGATCTTACACTAAAATGTACAAAAATTTCATATAGTTTCGTCATATTGCACAGAAGTTATACAAGAAACTTTAAAATTTTGATTTCTTTATTTGTACGAAAAGCAAAATTTTACATTTTTTCTTATTTTTTTTTTATATTTTTTTATAAAAAAAAAAAAACAAACTATATTCTAATATCCAATAGATTCTCTCTAGCTGCTATACAAGCTTCAACCTGATTAAAGATGCTGGTGACCAGTCTACGGCAAAGTTCTGGTGGTGTCTTATACTATGATTTTTTAATAAGCTTATCCAGCTCTGCAAGATTATCTGGCCTTTTCTTACGGTATACAAAACACTTTACCTCAGCTTACAAGTTTTCAATCAGATTAAGATTCAGATTTTGTAGCAGCCACTTCATTATATGAATCTGGTATTTCTTCAAGTATTGTAGAGCCACTCTATTAACATAAGGCTTGCATTATCCTAGATGAAGATTGAGTGACCTTGATCATTGTTTGCTAGAAATCTTTTTATAGTGGGAATAGCATACTTCTGAAGAATTTCAAGGTGCTACTTACCATTGGTATTAGATTTTAAAGAAATAAAGGCCCAACCCCAAACCAGAAGAAGCAGCCCCAATATATATATCCAGAACTACATTCTACACTACTATCGATACAATCGGTTTCTTATTTTTCATTTGGTTTGCGCTATACACAACTAGGGGAGCCCAAAAAAAGATATATATAGGTCTCGTCTAATGACAACACATATTTAAAGTGCTAGACAGACCACTCTTGATGTTTAAATGCTTATTTATACCTTTTTATCATATTCTCGGCCAAGATAAGAAGCTTTGTGGGTGATACACAAAGACAAGTTCAGATTATGCAAAGAACAACGTATAGTACTCTCAAAATTTTTTTTTCATTTTGGCAATTGTGAAAGTTAGTTATTTGCAGAAGGTTGAGATAGTGGTTGCTATCTGTAACTAAATTTTTTAGATTTTTAAGAAAAAGGGTGCTAGAATTTTTAGACAATTAGATTTTTTTTTTTTTGCTCTTCTATGCCTAGCGCACTGTACTTTTTTATAATATTCTATATAGAACTTTTACTACAACTAGCCACAGCTGCAATTGTATGAAGAGAATTACCTTTTTGGTATTCGAAATTATAGCTCCTCGTTAGTATTCTGTTAAATCTTTCTTTATATCTATTTTTTGTGAAAAAAAAATTAAGATGCACTTTTTTTGTTTGTTTATGCCAATCTGTTATACAAATATGCTTTTTTTATATCACGAAATGTGACCTGAGTATTACACTACATTTGGGCAAAATTTGCGACAATTTGAACAAAAATTCGATTTTTTGTGAATTTTTTTTTAAAAAAAAAAATTCAAAAAATCAAGAAAATTGATTTTTGTACAAATTCAAAAATAGTACTTTGTACTACTTATTGTATAACTTCTGTACTATATAATGAAATCATATGAAATTTTAATATATTTTACTGTGAGATTGGCTGGTTATGTGATCTGAATTTCATGCTGTGTTTATTTACCCAATTTTTAGTGATAGATGCCCAAAAAGTGTCCATAATAATATGGTACCCACTGTAGTTACTAAAATTTTCTTGGTTAAAGATTTATTAAAAATTTAAATATATCAATTATATGATAAATATTTTGAAATTTTTTTAAAATTTTGATCAAAAATATCTCAGCAACTACTTGATTAAATTTAATAAAAATTTTTTATTTGAATTCTACAGATCTATAGAATTCAAATAAAAAAATGTTTATAGAGTTTGGGCTCTATAGCTTATTGGTTAAGCTCCCAAACCCTACAGACAAGATCAACAGTTTGAATCTACCTGGAGATATAAAATCTGGGATTTTTAATCCTCTGTAAGCCTAAATAGCAGGTGCACTATTTCAAATACGAAGCTCTGTAGAAAATCCAAGTGCAAGTACAAGTTCTGGAATAGGAATTTCTGGAAGAAGCCTAATTATGAAGCAGTATTAATACATATTTCTCTCATAGAAAGTCTAGGTTGTAGAAGATTGTACATATAAGTTCTCTAGTTAGAGTAATCTAGAAACAATACCAATATCTTTTCATCTCTACTTTAGGCAGTACCAACATCTCTGTACCCAACTTGTAGAGTACTTGCTTGAAAGGATGATTAACTGATCATATATATCAGTTCTAATTTGAATTGGCATTAGGTATTTGCTTGGGAGAATGATACAATACTACTAAAACTGAAGTATAGAGAGAAGGGTGGATATATGAAAAGACTGTAGTAAAAGATTGGCCTTATCTGAACTGGAAGCATCTCTAGTACTATAAAACAACTAACTAAAGAAAGTAATTTCATAGAGGCAGGCTAGCTAATCTAATATATCTAAAAGTACTAAATCAGAGCTCTGGTTATATCTATATAGAAGTCGATAACAAAAGAAGCCAGAATACACCAATGATAATGCAACACCAACCAATAGATGTGAGTTTAAGTTGGAAGTTAATGTGAATTAGAATACGTTTTCTAGTAATATAATACAAGGCCTATGGCTGAAAGTAGGATCCAGGCTTGCCTTGATTTTATAAAATATAGTTCTGGTAATATACCATATGAGGAAGTACAGATAGATTAGTTGGTACCACTATACCAGAAAAAGAACATTAAGTTCTGAAGTTGTTAATGAAGCAGCCTACTCCAGAACACTCCGGAGTAGAATCCAACCCAAGTTGGAGTGGGTTTAAAATTATGCCTTTAAATTTGGAGCAACCTGGAGCAACCCAGAGTACTATGGAGCAACCTGGAGCAAAGCATTAGAGTAAGTCTAATTTAGTGGAGTGGGTTGAAGAAAGGATAGAAATGAAAAAAAATAAGAAACAAAAAAAAAAAAACAAAAAAAGAAACAAAAAAAGAAGACAAAAATAACCAAAAAAGAAATAAGTGAAAAGAAATAAATGAAAAAATAAAAGAAAACAAAAAAAATGAAAAACAGAGTAGACAAAAAAAAGTAAACGAACGAAAAAAGTGAACAAAAGAAAAAGTGAACAAAAAAAAAAGAAACAAATAAAAAGTAAAAAAAAGAGCAAAAAAAAAGATGAAAAAAAGTGAAAAGAATAATATGCAAAAGCAGCAAAGCAAAAAGCAGCAAAGCAAAAACAGCAAAGCGAAAACAGCAAAACAAAAACAGCAAAACAAAAGCAGTAAAGCAAAAGCAGCAAAGCAAAAGCAGCAAAGCAAAAACAACAAAGTGAAAGTAGCAAAGCAAAAACAGCAAAGCAAAAGCACAACAAAAGCAGCAAAGCACAAAAGCAACAAAAGCAAAAACGAAGCAGCAAAAAAATAATGATTATCAAAATAATGATTGCTAATTTTATTGGCTAATTATATAGAGGGTGTATAATCATGCGAGTGCGTGGAAAATATTTTCTCTTAATTATATATATTCATTAAATATTCATTAAATATTTAGTAAAAAATTAAATATTCAAATATTCAATTTGATGAAAAATATTTATTCCAATATTTAAATATTTAATAAATATTCAAATATATTATTTATTGGATCAGATCATTAAAAATAATCATAAATTTGAAATAGTGTTAAATAGAGAAATATCTCCAGATAAGTTTATTATAAAAGAAAAATACTTAGTATTATAGAGAGTTTAACATCATAGCTAGAGTAGATTTAAGAAATAGATCAAAATATCTAATAACAACAAAGTTTAACAACAATAAGAAAATAGCAAGTCATATAGAATATTTAGTAATAATTGATAAATATTAACTCAAAAAACAAGAAAAAGAAGCCAAAACACAAACAAAAGAACTCTTAGACAAAACTGACAAAAAACTAGCAATTTATATAGAACAAATATTAGCAGAATATGCTAAAAAGAATTTATTACTGAAAAAAAAGCTAAGACACAAATAAAAAAACTATATGAAAAATTATAAAAATACAAAAAAGGAGAAATACAATATACAAACTTGTATTTAGAGAAGAGTACAAATTTAGCTAGCTATATTATAAGTAAAAAAAAATAATATTACATATAAATTAGATATAGCTAAAAAGATAAGATAGATATTAAATAATAGAGCAAAACAAGCTTCTAAAATAAAGTTAAAATTAGAAACAAATTGAAGCAAGAAACTTCAAGAATAAAAAAAAGTAAACAGAGACAGCACAACAAAATAGCTTTGAAAAAATTAATTACAGCAATTTAAAGAATCTATCAAAACTATTATAGCAAACCAGCACAAGATAAAAAGAAAAGCCAAGGTAGAGAAAAAGAAGATACAACTCCGATAAAAAAAAACAAGCTACAGAAATAAAGTTAAAGCTAGAATTAAAATAGAGCAAGAGACTTCAAAAATAAAGAGAAGCTTGACAAAAGCAGTATAACAAGACAAACCTAAAAATATTAGTTTAACAATTTAAAGAATCTATCAAAGTAGTTGCAGCAAACTAGCATGAGAAAAAAAAAATCAAAGAAGCAAAAAGAAAAAAAACTATAAATCAAAATATAAAAGACATTACAGAAGCAAAAATTTTAAACAAGATTTAAGAAAAATTAAGATTCAAAATTTCTTTTACAAATCCAAAAGATTGGATAATAGAAATAATATATCAAGCAAACAAAAAAAA